CCCGACCGCTCACGGCTCGGACCCCGCCCCTCCCAGCCACCCGGCCCAGGTTGCTAGGGCCTGGCTGGGCAACCAAACCTGGCCCGCGAGGAGATGCGGCGCGCGCGCGCGCAGGCGAGCTTATACAAGAAACCAGCCTTCTTAGGCTTCTGGGGCCCGCGCACGAGCGGCGCGGGCGGGGCGCGCGGGCCCGAGCTCGAGGACGAGCGCTCTTTCCGCATTGGTCTCTATCAGAAGTGGGCGGGGCAGAGGCGGGACCCGCCGGGGTCTTCGAAGCTTCTTTATTGGTCCGAACGGGACGGCCGGGGAGGGCCAGTTAGCAAATTAGGCTGCGCCTTCGCCTCTGCGAGAGGGCGGGGCCGGAGGTTTCCATTAGTTGTCCCTGCCACTGGGAAAGGTAAATCGGCGACGGCGGCCTCAGGAGCTGTGGGGTCCCCGGCTGGAGGTGGGGGACTCGGCTGGGTGAGTAGTTGAGCCGCCACCCGCCCGTCAGGCCTTCCTGTCCCCACGTCGGTTTCGCGCCACCCACCTTCTCCTGAGGCAGGGGACCCACCCGGTCCCCCCGGGCAGACGTGAGAAGGGGCGGCGGCGCAGGTCCCCCCAGAGCAGGGCGACGCGGCGAGGGTGCCCCAGCCTGGAGTGGCCCCTCCTCAGCGCCCCATTGCGCCACTGGAAGGGTTTCCCCGGCGAGAGGTTGGGGCTGTATTTTGGGGCGTTGGGAGACGGGAGGATGTGAGGAGTGGCGGCGGGTCGAGGCAGCCCGGTGGGGCTCCTCTCAGCAGCGGGTCTGCGGCGTCCCCGCCCCGCCGCCCCCGCGGCGCGAGCTCCCCCGGGCTTGCGGCGAGGGAAGCCCCTTCCCGCCGGCGCCGAGGAGGAGCCTGTGCGCGGGAGCCCCTAGCCCGAGTTCCGAGGGAGTCCGGGACCCGCCGGGGGCTGCGAGCCGGCGCCGGAGCCCCGGCCCTGCTGACTGACCTTGGCTGCCCGCGAGGGTGGGCGAAAGACCCACCGCCTAACCCGCATCTCTTCCAGCCTCCTCCCAACAAGTTTTCAGGCGTTGCTATGAAGTTCACGACTGGCATAGTGGGGAGAAGCAGAAATTGGCCCCTTCCCCCCAGACTTTCGTACCCTTTGGACCCTCATAGAAATTAAATCCTGGGGTTTGGAACCATTTCCAAACGAACAGGTCCTGCTCGCATTGACACGTTTTATTCCCACGTTGGGGGGAAAAAAATAACCTGAACGTATTTCTGTGTAAAGGCAGATCTTGAGGGTTTTTTTTTTTTTCCTTTTCTTCTCTTCACTTGAGTGTTAAAGCACTGATGCCTGAATAAGAAAAGCCTGACCTTAGTATCTCCACAGTGAGATTAGACGGATGCTGTGATATTTAAATAGTTGCAGATCAGTGTTCTGTTAACACAATCTATTTTAATTGGCTGAAATTTAGGCTGATTTTAGAAAGTATTGCAGACACAGAATAATTTCCTCCCGTGAATCTGAATTAGGTTTGTTTGGACGTAATGGTCATGTAGTTAATGTAAGAGATTACACAAATTATTGTCTGAGAACATTTGACTGAAACGGGAGACATAAATATGTATAGAATAGGATTATCGTTTTAGGTAGCATTTCCAGCTTGCTCCTTTCTTGCTGTTGGGTTATAAAGAAGGCATCTTTACGGAGGCTATTCGGAATTATATGTGAATGACATTTAGATGTAAATTTGTTTTTAACTTAAGTGTTTTAAAGTATTTTATTCGTAAAATGTGAAGAACCTATGTTTACTTGTGTGTTTAGTGTTGAAGGGGGGGAGTATAATCTTATATTTAGCAACCCAATTAGGGTTCACTAATAATACATTTTTTAAAAAGGTGTGCCTCTTTTTGAGAACATGGTACTTGAATACCTCAGCAATTCTTTTAATTTCTTTATTAAAAGTACTATTTTAGGTTTGAGCATTTTTGGCGTTCACACTGGAACAGGAGTAAGGAAGCCTGCAGCAGTATTACCAGTTTGACACCACCAGTGGGTGTTTCTGTTGACAAATGCGGAGAAGAGAACATTTGGGAAGGAAATCTTTTTTTCGGGGTGGGGGGGGTAGGGGGGGTTGGGTGAGGGGGGGACGGAGCCAGAAGATAGAAGCTGCAGAACTAAAGCTGCCAGCACAGTGTATGCTGAGCATTTCACAAGTACAAGGAAACCTAATTAGGATGAAAAAAAAAAAAAAACCAGTTTGGCTGTATTAAATAATAGAATTCCAAAAGAGGCATGCTAAATAAAGTTAATCATACCAAGAGTGTTAAATAATCTACCATTTCAGAAGAGTTTGGAGGGTCTTGAACTGGAGTGCCAAATCTTTTTAAATTGTCTTGCCTTTTAAACATAATGCAGTGATTAATTTGATGTATGTGTGTATATATATATATATATATGTTTTGTATTCTAGTTTTGCTGATTTTTCCTAAGACTAATTTTTTTGAAAACAAAACTTGATATATTAAAAAACATTAGAAATACACATTCTCTCTTCAGAGAGGATTTCTTTTTTCCTGGTCAGATTTATAATTTAGTCATGATTTAGGGGCTTGTGGAAGGGTTTTTTTACCCCTTATCTCAGGTTTTTGATTTTTACTTAGGCAAGTTCCCTGGACTAAATCTGCCATTATTTTCATTGTAATTTTCTTGCAGTCATCTTGCAGTCATTTAAATCAGAGTGTGGTATCTACAGTATTCCCCGGGGTTTTAGAAGAAAAGGCTCCCACTGAGGGAAATTGCAGGGCCATCTCGCATAGATGAGTAATAGAAGGTTGACTGCGAATCAGTTGTATTCTGTTCCAAATATGCTGCATGGGGTTAAGGCAGTCATTTAATGAGAACCAGATTTTACATGGTATTTCTACTTTGAAGGTGCAGTATTGTTCCATTACAAATTAAAATACAGAGGTGGAGAAATTCCTTCAAGTATGCCTTTTCCCCCCCAGCCTTGCTTCACTACTGTGTCCAAGAATCTGTGAGAGACTCTTCAACAATAGTTGCATTGTTAGAAATGACAGTGGCTTCTGTGCAGAAACTAACCTTTCACTATGATTTGTGTTTCAGTTTACTTTGTGATAGAAAATTCAGCTATATCTAAGAATATGGCTGTAGAAAATTTGTAAGGAAGTGAACCAAGAAAATAAACCTCTTCAGCATGTCTGTTAAAAGTTCACCTTTTTTTCCCTTCCATTTTGATAACTTTGGTAGTTACCTCTTTTATTTCTTCTAGGTTTTAGAAGGTATGTTAGCATAGTACTTTATTTTTGGCAGTAAATGTGGGGATAAGACTTTTTCATGTGATAAATTGATACCAAATAATAAGGCATTTAGAAGAAACCACCCACATACACAGACCCAAAATGTGAGGGAAGTCTTTTAGATAACCCTTAACTTTGGTACGAGAATAGCAAAATTTTAAGTATTAAGTTGCTTTCTATGTAGTAAAAGGCTGTTTACTCAGAATTTGATAGTTTTAGATTCCAAAGGTTGTTTTGTTTGTAACATCAAATTCCTTGGTAGAGGAGGAGATAGAATCTCAAAGCTTCTTTATCATCTGATGTTGTCAATTGGGTCACGTATTTCAACTTACGAAAACACTGCAATTAAAAGACTAAATTTAAACTTTGTTTGGGAAGGTTTTCCAGTTTACTTTCAATCTTAAACTCAACATTAGAAATCTTTTGTTGACAATGCATCACTTTCGTGTTTGGATTTAAATTCTTGATAGTTTCTAGAATGTTTCCTTCATATAGAGCAGCGCATGGATGACTAGATTACTCAAAGGTTTGGCCTCATTTCTCATTCAAGTTTGTACATTTACTTCATAATACTGAGATAGGAAGTTGGGTGCAATTCTGTCAGTGGGTATGAAAGCTGAGTGAGGACTTTCTACCTAAAGAGCCTGATAACATTTAGACAATTAAGATTTGGGAATTAACAGAAAATTACTTATTAGGTTAAAAGGGATCTACCCCATTCAGGTCTTTGAAATTGTCAACATTTTGAATTAAGCTCTCAGAAACATTTGTGTTGGAGACAGTTCTAATTAAGGTCATGTTTTGGGAGTGGTCTCTCTTTTGGGTAGTCTTTATAACGTACTATTTATTGAGCCTTACTGAAGACCAGATACTATAATAAATAATTCATTTGTTTGGATAGCTGTGTGTATGTGTGTTCTCACAACACTTGTGTGAGGTAGATGTTTTCCTTATTTTCCTATACACTTGATCAGATGGGCTCCAAGAGAGAAAATAATTTGCTCAGATTACCCAGCTAGGCTGTAGCAGAGGCAAAACTTTCATCCAAACCGGTCTGACTTGAACCTGTGTTCTTCAAAACCATGCTCTCTGCTTCTCTTTAGGAATCTGTTTACCCAAACATATTTTGAGGTCCTACTGTAAAGTCACTCCTGGGGTGGGACTAGAGGTCTAGATATGCCTCCTGGAGTTCACAAGCTACATTGGTAAGGCCGCCTGACCTTTAGTCACATGGGAGGCTGGACTCAGATCCATCAGCACTTACGGATAGGACAACTGGAAGTGCAGACTTTTTTAACAGAGGGTCATTAGTTCTATTTCTTCATAAATGAAGGTTGTACATAATTATTTACACCCAAAATGAGGTAGCTGTTTCTAATTAACTACTTGGTATTTCATGTTTCTGCATGTTCCACTGTAACTTTTGACTGACTTTGATTAAATTTGCTACACTAATAAAGGTGATGAAGATATTCCTTGAATTCAATTTTGTGGTTTAGATGCACTCTAAATGGCAGCCATTACAATTTGCAGATGGGTATCTCTTCTGTAATTGTTCTGACTTAAGTGAAATAAAAATAAAACCTGGAGGTAAATGAAGTTTACAGAGGTATGTTATTGTTGCTTCTTAATACATAGAAGTTGGGGGGCACCTGGGTGGCTCAGTCGTTAAGTGTCTGCCTTCGGCTCAGGTCATGATCCCAGGGTCCAGGGATTGAGCCCGCATCGGGCTCCCTGCTCAGCCGGAGACCTGCTTCTCCCTCTCCCACTCCCCCTGCTTGTGTTCCCTCTCTCGCTGTCTTTCTCTCTGTTAAATAAATAAATAAAATCTTAAAAAAATATATATATATATAGAAGTTGGACTCTGACAAAAATATTTCTACTTGAAAGTAGAATTTTCTGCTACTTGAAGCCTCTTGTGATTGTGTGTGTGTGTGTTTTAAAACAAGACCCATCATTAAGAGAGCTAAACAGTTGCTTAGCCCAAAGGAATGCTCAGAGATCCATGTTAGGGAGGAAAAGGACTTAATGTTTTATTCTATAATTGATGAGAATCACTTTTGTCATTTATTAAAGTTAGAAACCAGTGATGAATATTGTAGAACCTCAGGACTGGAAATCATCTTGGACAGAGCAGGACAGTTGTTCTATGATGATGGGACCTACACCTAC